AAGGAGAGCAGATGAAGTACCTTACAGAGAAGGCTGAAAGGAAAGAAATAAGCAGAGAAAAAGGAGAATTTGAACAAAGGAAAGAATTATCGAAAAAGAAAGAGTCAGAAGAAAGAATATTAACGAGGGAGCGGAGGGGGGGAGGATAAAGAGGACGAGGAGGAAGCAACGACGAAAAGGGGACAAAAAACGAGTAATAATAATCAATAATTTTTTAAAATTTTTTAATTTACTTGTTATAATTGTGTTTTTTTAAAAAGATAAACAAAATAGGAAATATCTCAAGGAACAGGCTGGCGGGTAAAAGGCCGAGGCCGAAGACCCCCTGTGGTTATCCTAATTGCAGCAAATCAAAAATGGCCACGGAAATTCATGCACAAAGAAAATAAAGAAGGGAAGAGATATTAAAATTACACGCGTGCTAATGATCCTGAGTCCTACCTGTTTAGTTTAACACGTGGCAGGTTCTGTGCGGTTTATCGGTTTTGGGTTTATCAATTACTAAGAGTTTTTTTCCCCCTCAGGTGGTCCTGTTGTTTTTTCTTTGTGGGTAGGTGGATGTGGGTTATAAAATTTTAACGACACTAATAAATAATAATTTTTTAACAACAAAATGGGTGGAAAACTTAAAATACTTTATTGATTCTTCTTAAAGATTTTTAAAATGAAATTCGGGGTTGTTGTCTTGTTGCTGATGTGGTTAATGTTCGCGGGGCTAGCTTAGCTGGATGGAGTTATTTTGGTCGGATAATGCGTGCCTGAAAGACGCGGCATTCGGGGAGGGACAGTGGTGCGGTTGGGTGCACGATTTGTGGCGTGGTTCAGCAGCTAATGATTGAGGGTCTTGACAATGTATGGAGCTTTGCTGTGTCAGCGCCGTGCTGGGGTTAAGACCACCTAATTGGCATCATTGGACCATTACATAAATCAATTGTTGAAAGAGAAAGAGAAAAAAAAAAAAGGGAAAATGCAATTTTTTTAGTGGATAGTTTACATGATTAAGCAAAATTTTGTTTGGTTATCCACGTCGGTTTGATTACAATGATGAATTGGGATAGCCGACTAGTTTTAAATTTATATAATCAGCCTTCTTTTATTTTGTAATAAAACTTAATTAAAATTAAAATTTTTATTTTAATTGGGGTCTTGTTTAAAAAGGTTTATTTGAATTTAAGGTAGGAGACGGACATTTCAACATTTCTACTTATAACCTGAAAGTTTTGCGTTCAAAGTAAGAACTAATTATGTTATATTAAGAACCAAACGTTGGACTCTCATAACTGTTATTTTCATTTAATAAAAGATATGACTCAAATGAATAAAAAGAGCATGCGATTAATAATGTATATGGTAAAATTAATTTAAATTTGAATAATATTTAATTTTTTTAATTGTTTAAAAATTTAAATAAATTTTTATTTTATTATTATATTCACTCAAAATTTTATATTTTTATTTTGAATCAAATAAGTCTCTCAATTGACTAACTACTTAATCAAAATGCTACTTGTTATTTGTTATGTTACGTGACACTAAAATGACATATTAACATGTCTTAATGGATAAAAATAAAAAATAATATATAATCATGTGACATTTTCATCCTTTACATTAATATTATGTCAATACTATATAAGTATAAAATGATAAATAGTATTTTAATTAATAATAATTAATTAATTATTAATGATAAGAGTTTATTTATTTCAAAATCAAAATAAAAAATTCGAACCGAATGTAATAAAAATTTATTTATTTTTTGAATAATTCAGGAAAAAAACTTAGGTAGACAAACTAATTAATGAATACCAACCAGCATATAACTTGAACTAACGAAAACTTGCTGAAAAGCAGACTTTAGCCGTGAAGTTTTCATAGAATATTTGTTTTACTTGTAAGATTAAATATCTTGGTTTTAATCTTAAATCTTAATCTGTTTATTAGAATGCCATTGACAATTATGTCTGATGAAATTTGTATTATGCACACAGCATGTCTCATGACAACGTTGGCTTTCGCCAAGAACAATATTCACAATATTATCTAGTGTACTGGCAAATTCTATAGTAAAATTAACCTTAATAAGATTACAAATAAAAATTATTAGATTTAAAGGGTTTATTTTCAGTCATTTATCAATGAAAAAAAGTACAACCTATTTACCTGACAAATAGGTTAAGAAAAAGATTATATAACCCAACATAAATAAATATGATAATCAAAAGGAAATAATTAGCCAAAAAATTAATTAAAATGAAAAACCTAACAAAGAGAATAATAGAATTTTTATGAAAATTTAGTCATTTACAATTATATTCTTGAGTAACAAATATTAACTATTGAGAATTTTTTAAATAAATATTATAATAAAAATTAGTTCAATAAATTAATATTTTAACTTTAATTATTTTGTTTTTATTATTATTCATTTATAAATTAAAATTTATAAACCATTAAATATTTTTAAATCAATAATAAAAAATTAAATGTTTAATTTTAACAAAAATTAAATCTATTTTAACTCATTTGATTTGTTACGTTAAATATAAAAAATTTTCGTCAATATTTTTACAATGCTTATTCCTCCATTATAATTTTTTACATTAATATTTATGGTTTTATGTCAAGGTAAAAATTAAAATTTTCACTATAATTCTTTTTATACTTACTATTGTTTTTACATAGATTAAAATTTGTAAGTCGTAAAATACTTTAAACTTGAGGGTAAAAATTTAAAAGTTTAATTTCTCAAAAAATTATGTTTATTTAATATAATTGATTTGTTATGTTAAATCTCATGCATTTTTTAATGCTTGTTCCACTTTTATAATATTTTACATTAATTCTTATCACTTTGTGTCAAAGATTTTTAACTATTAATTAAAATTATAATTATTTTATCATTACTATTATTTATCCATAGATTAAAATTTGTCAATCATAAAATATTTTAAACTCAAGAATAAAAAGTTAAATATTTAATTTTTTCAAAAATTATGATTATTTGATATAATTGACTTGTTATATTAAATCTTACATATTTACGTCAATATTTTGATAATTCTTTTTTCACCTTTATAATTTTTTACATTAATTTTTACTGTTTTACATTAAGGTCTTTCAACTACTAATTTTCATCATAATTTTTTTTATTCTTATTATTATTCATTCATAAATTAAAATTTGTAAACCGTAACAAACTTTAAACTCTAGAATAAAAAATTTTAATGTTTAATTTTCTCGAAAGTTATGTTTATTTGACATAATTGATTTGTTATATTAAATCTCACACATTTACATTAATAGCTTGACAATTTTTATTCCATCTTTATAATATTTTATATTAATTTTTACAGCTTTATGTCAAGACTTTTCAAATACTAAGTTTCACCACAATTCTTTATATATATATATTTTTTTAAGTTTTCGACCTGAAGGAAAGAATGAAAAATAGTCTTTCTAGCAAGAAGGGTCTTTAAATTTATACCCCACTGCTTGCACTGGCAAGGTGGACTATACACCCATTTTTTACAACAAAAAATCACCCTATGAATCCCTAAAAGACAATAAAAAGAGCAAAGCCAACCCTCAGCAAAAGAATAAAAGAAACCAAGGCAACCATCATAACCCTAGCCAAAACCATCATCCCATGGGGTTGAAAAAGATAGAACTTGTATAGAGCTGTACATCCAAACATTTACAAAATCCCCCCTCAAAGTATGAATACACATTAAGATAAATTGCCTATTCTCAAGCAAAATCAGACACCTCAAACTCATTCTTATCATCATCAAAAATCATACCAGATGAAGGCAAGACAAAAGGCAGAGTAAGGAAACTTACTAAAGCACTCTAATCACCTCACTTTGCAGATGAATTCCACTCTTTGCAAGATCATCTCCACTTTGATTCGCCGCCGTTTTGATGTGATTGATATCCCATGAGTTGATTTTCTCTTTAAATCTTTTGATATGAATCAGCCATTTCCTCATCCTCCAGAGATCTTGATCTATTTAATTGCATTACTTGAATCACTTTCGATGATGAGAGTCAAGTTATCCTTTCATCTGGATGTCGAGAAAGAGAAAAGGCTTTTCTTATTGCTAGAATTTCTGCTAGATTTGAATTAGTACTACCAACAAGTTTAGAAAAGGTAGACAACATAGATTAAAATTCGAAAACTGTAAATACTCTATACTCGAAAATAAAAATTTAAATGTTTAATTTTTTATAAAATTGTGTTTATTTAACATAATTAAGTTGTTACGTTAAATCTCATAAATTTACGTCACTATTTTGAAATTTTTTTTCTATTTTTATAATTTATTATGTTAATTCTTATAGTTTTACATTAAGGTTTTTCAACTACTAATTTTAATTATAATTATTTTTATCTTTACTAATATTCAGTCATAGATTAAAATTTGTAAACTGTAAAACACTTTAAACTTAAAATAAAAATTCAAACGTTTAATTTTTTTAAAAAATTATATTTATTTGATATAATTGATATGTTAAGTTAAATCACACATATTTACATCAATATTTGGATAATGCTTATTTCACTTTTATTACTTTTTGCGAATCAAACATATCTTAATATTTAGTATCAATTTAATAATATTAAATAATTAATGAAAAGAGTGATTGTTACGCATTGTTGCATATCTAATTAATATTATAATATTAAAAATTAATCACAACTCTGCAAATTATATATTAATCATATTAGCGATGGTATGTATGACAACAATCTTTTATTTTTGTGAAAATATTACTCTTATGTTATCATTTAATATACATCACTATCGATAACTTCGTATCAATTGAACATGCAAATATAATCTGAAAAGATCTTGTTTCCCGCTCAGAAATCCAAGTTCTTGTCAGTGACAGTGTCACGTGGTGCAAACACGGTGACTTTCAACTACCAACGGTAACAGTTGGGTGAGGCAGTTCTCTCTCGAACCTATTAGGAACGTGCTCTCAGGCTCCCAAACTCCAAGGAACCCAAGAACGGTAGTTAAGATGCAGATCTCTGCATGCGGAACTGAAAAAAAATCAGCTTTTAAATCCGTTGATGTAACATCATTTTTCTTATGCTTTCACGGCCAGGACAGTAACCCAACTGACCTACTTTGACTATTTATTTCTTTTTCAGCTTCAAGCATTTTTGAGAACTTGGTTCAAACAAATTTTGAGAAAATGAGCTGGAGTGCTGCAGGCAGCTGGTTCAAAAGCCATGTAACATTGAACAATTTGTACAGACTTTTTCTGGGTCAAGTTGTTTCCTTTGTTCTTGCACTTATGAGCTTTACTTCTTCCTTAATAGCCAGTCTTGGTAAAGTCAACTAAACCCCAGTACTTTAGATTCCATGGTCTTTGTTCTGCTTTTGTTTACTTTTAGGTTCCCATTTTGGTTTTGGGAGGTTCACATAAATTTGGTATTTACATTCTTGTATGCTTATGTTTATGGTGGTATTTGTTTAGGTGTTGATGCGCCTATCACTCAGTCTTCCTTCACTTACCTCACTTTGGCTGTGGTTTATGGTGGCATCTTGCTGTACAGGGGTCAAAAGCTGAGGGTAATCATCTATTAATCACTTATCAACTCCACTAATCAAATGGATGCTATTACATTTTCATTTTTCTGGTAACTGAATATTGTCATTGTATGACAAAATAGACTAAAGTAATTTTATTTGTTTATTTGTTTATTTATTTATTTGGGGAAGAAAGAAACAGAAAACCATCCCAACTGATTTGTCTTTCCTTTTTTTTTTTTTGGCTTGTTTGACATTTCATTGTGCAAAAGATAAAGGTAGTGGTAATATGCATTAATATATTACATAGAGCAACCAGTTTTTTTTTTTTTTTTAAAAAAAATTCTGTTGTTCTTTGCTTAAACCTTTAAATAGTAATCAAGCTTAGAATTGGTGAAGAAACTTGAATCTCTGTTTGCAGATTCCTTGGTATTGGTATCTGGCCCTCGGTTTTGTTGATGTTCAAGGAAATTACCTCGGTGAGCACTAGACTACTAGTTGTTCACATCTCATATTCTCTCAAAACACATACATGCCATGGCCTATGGCCTTAGTCGTGCATGAAGGATTAATTTAAGAGGTGAAAAACATAAAGTAAATATGTGTCTGCAGTCTGCATATAGAATCTGTAAGCTGGGAATTGTAAACCATATGAAGGTTGAGGTCATTGGGATAGATAGCTTATAACTGGTTACAAATTAGAAATTAATGTGGTATATAATACTATTCGAATTATAAGTACTGATTTGAGTCATGCCATGGAGAGGAAGCTGCATATAAGGAATGGCATGTTAAGACTCACAGTCTTAGTTGTAAGTGAGATATCTGTAGGATAATTGGATTGGGAAACTTTTGATTCACACATTGCATCTTCCATCACATATATTTATCTGTGTATGAACTTACAAGCAAATTATTTTCCTTAAAGTAATTCACAAAGTTCATCAATAATTAAGAAGTTCAGCTGATTTTGTCATAGCGCATGTTTTGAATAGAAAAATAATGGTAGATTGGTTTGATTTGGATAGATATTACCTGAATTATACTGAATTGTCAATCACCGTAATGAAGAGCCTTCCTTTTGCTTTTATGCAGTTAATAAAGCATTCCAATTCTCCTCAATCACTAGTGTAACACTGTTGGACTGCTGGACCGTAGTATGGGCAATTATTCTTACGTATATCTTCATAGGCACCAGATATTCTCTATGGCAGTTATTTGGAGCAGCTCTCTGTGTGCTTGGTCTTGGTCTAGTGCTCCTCTCTGATGCTGGGGTGGGTGGTGGAGGTAAAATTCTTTCTACTCTCACTCTGGTCTCTGTCCATTTTCTGGATAATGTTCTAAAGTATTAGTTTTGATTGGTGTTTCTTTATGGATGCTTTGATCCGTAATTGTGCCATTAATGGAAGCAGTTCTTTTTTTCTGCACTTAGCTACTTGTTTGTTTGCATCAATAACTTTAGTAATAATATGATATCTCATTCTCAGTCACATTCCCATTTTTCAGGTGGTTCAAAACCTCTTTTGGGAGATGCACTTGTCATTTCTGGCACACTCTTCTTTGCCATGAGCAATGTTGGGGAGGTTGGTTAATCTCTGAACTCTTACTCTATCAGTTATTTCTCCAAGGGGAACTTTTATGTTAGTGGGATAAACCAGGGGAGCTAAGATTTTTAATCTCAGTGATCTGCTTCTATTTTTCTTGTCCAAGATCACCGGTGCCAGATTTGATTTGATCCTTCAAAAGTTACGTTCTTTGATCATTTGACTTCACTTCTTTTTCATTTCTAAATTGCAGGAATTTTGTGTTAAGAAAAAAGACCGTGTTGAGGTGATTTCCATGCTTGGTCTTTTTGGCATGCTAGTGAGTGGTGTTGAGTTGTATCCTTTCTTCTAGGCAGTATATGATACTTATATTAATTTTCAATGCATCTGAAACTCTGTATTCCTCTCAACTATCTTACATGCTATCGTTCTATAGACATTAAATATAATATTTGTTTAATTCCATAATCTTCTCTTAGATCCATATTTGAGCTAAAGAGCCTGGAATCAGTAACGTGGTCTACAGACATTGTAAGTAATCTATTCTTGTAGGGTAATCCATTTTCTTGTTTTCTTTCACAAAACCATGTCTTTAGCCATAGCTTTTTCCGCTTATCAGAAGTGCCAGTTCCTTCTGTTAGGACAAATTTAAGAATTTAGCACACAAACAATTTATTCTTTCTTTTCTTGATGAGTGCTGGTGGAGATTCCTGAAAATGAAGGATATAAAAGTTAAATGTATAAAGAAGCACCTGATTTACAAGTTAAATCCAATCATGCAGACACTTGAAAGAGCAATCAGTTTGCTTCATAATGTTTGATGTTATGATATTACCCTCTATGCTTTCTAAAAGACTTAAGCCAGCAACAATTACTTGGAGTAGTGAAGTACGTTGACTTTAGGGGATGACAAATATTAATGAGGAAAAAAGAAAAACGCTTGATCCAGTGCAATAATTTAACTGTAGATAATGTTGCATTTTGCACTCAAGCTTCAAATGGGATTGAAAAGGAAAGGCATTGTGATTTAGCCATTGCATTGTAGGAGTTCCAGATGATTGTTCCCATTATTTCGTTTCCATTGCATTGTGATTCTGCCTAAATGTCCTTTTATGTTATTTTTTATTTGCAGATGCTTGCCGCAATCGGATACACCTTGTCAGGCTTCATGTTCTACTCAATCACGCCCTTCGTTCTAAAGGTGAATTTCTTTGTTATTTGGACTGATTTGCTTTGCAGCCATGTCCTTTCTAATGAATTCTAAACAACGTGAATGTAATGGTTCAGTGGATAATACTCAACATCATGTGAAGTTTATTTAGGAATGTGTATTTCTTTCCACTGTAATCATCATTTTTTTCATCATCCCATTCTCATGGCTATATGAAGGGAAAAGAGGACAGCTGATCTAATAATGCAACTACAAATAAATAATGAAGCTGCCTCTACTTGTAGAGATGACCTTCTATAAGAAACATCCATGGTTTCAGTCACTAATGGGAGGTATTTTACTCGCAGTTGAGTGGGGCCACAATGTTTAATCTCTCTCTGCTCACGTCTGATATGTGGGCAGTTGTCGTTCGCATCCTTTTCTATCACCAGCAGGTACTGTTTTCAAATTGATTCCCCACTGATTCTGGATGATCAATTATGGGAATTAATGCACTTCTATAACTATAGTGTGAGCATAATGCCTTTGGTTTCTTTGAAAGTACTGTCACCTGAAGAAATTTCATTATTCACGTTGCAGGTTAATTGGCTATATTTTCTTGCTTTTGCAGTTGTAGTCATTGGACTCGTCATCTATTCAACGACGTAAGTTTAATCCTTGTAAATCATTAACTTGTTTCATCATATGCAAAATAACCCTAGTCACTGTTTTTTCTGATAGTGAGAAGGATCCTGTCCCTGCACCACTTCTTGAGGATGCGAACCACAGTGTACAATACCAAGTGCTTAACGATGAAAATATGGCATCTAGGGATGAGTCTTAGCCTCATCAGGGATCGAGGAAGAGGAGCTGCTTATGGCAGTGTTGGGAGCTTTATGTCCCAAGACTGCCATGGTAAACTTTGAACCTTGGAAAGTCAAAACCAATCAAAATCTTATTGCCCCATAGTTATGCCTCATGCAACTCCCATGCCTCCCTTCTTTTTGCTTTTTCGCCAGCGGTCTACTTTTGTGGCTGTTTGAAGTTTGATTTTCCATCTTTTATTCTTCCTACCGTTTTTTTTCCCTTAGAATCTCTCTATCAACAGCAAGAGGAGCTTCACTTTGGAAAGATAAAGAGAAGTATCTATAATCCTGGTCCGCAAGGCTCGCGGTGGCGGACGATTTCCTTCAGTGACAAGACCAAACTTCCTTTCTAGTTACCTGCAAAATATGTTGTCCCTTGATGTAATGAAGTTGGTAAATCAAACCCATATATACAATTTCACATATTCACTGTATTTCCTTGAATAAAGGTTTAATTTAATTATTTTATTTTCAGTCAATCTCCTTTGTTCATATTTTTCCTTCAATTGATTGCAGATTTTTTAATAGGTTCCCTCATTTTCTATTGGTGACAAACAAAAATATGTAATCTCCTTTGTAAATGCCATTGAACCATGATGGATGGTTTAAAGCTAACTAGTGTTAGTGCAAATGGAGTTTAGATGAAATTTAAGGAACTAGTAAAATTGATTTCAAAGTGAGCCTTTCAATATATGTTATTTTTAAGACTTATTGAGCCCCAACCACTCAGTATGCAAAGAGAAATAATACGAATAGCTTTATAGATACATTGAAGCCAATGTCTAACTTTATCTTACACTTTTACAAGAGTAGATCGCTAGATACACTTGAGGGTTTTCAAAGTTGTTCGACCTTAGAGCCTACTTTCTACAGTAAGTAAATTATAAGGAATTTAGATGTTTTTATAGTTGAAGGGAACTTAAGTATTTGTGTTAATAGAACACAACACTTTTCTTGCTCTTGATTTTTCTGCTTTTATTCTGCTTTTGTTTTCTTTTTGATTTGATATCTCAAAAATGATTGGCAACAAGCCCTTTATATAAGCTTGCAAGTGTTTTTTCTTCAAGGACATAACTCTTTCATTAAGGTACCATTTTGTCTAAAAGACATCTTTACATTTTGTAAGACACAAGGATAATTTAATAATCATCTTATGAAAGGACAACTATTCATTTCATAAAATATAATCTTTGAGTTATAATTTGAGATAATAACTTTTTATATTTAAACTTTTGAGCTATGGTGTTTTTTTAATTTGTCTCATAACCTTTGGATGTCATTTTACCAAGAGACATAGCTATTTACATAAAACTTACTTACAATCCAATAGTCATACTGTGTCATTTTATGTGACATAACCTTTGAGTTAAGATAACTTTTCATTATGTAACATAATATTTGATTTTGAAAATACACCAGCAAACCCTCACCATTTTCAAAATTTTCAAATACCAGCAACTTTGGAAACCTTGTGCATTAATGAAGGCATCCTCATAAATTTGAACATTTATTTAGTGAGTGTGGTTGGTTCTAGTCTGAATTAAGTGGTTGACTAAGTATTGAACCATCGATTTTTCATTTGACTGGTCAGGGCCACTAAACACACACAAACTTCCTTGCTCACTTCGTATCATGTTTTGCCAACATGTTTTATGGCCTTGTGTTTTGCATCCATTAATGAGTACTACTAGAGTCAAGCCTTTAGCTCCTAGAAGTGACCACAATTCCACTCACATAGATAGCTCCTATCGGTAGTACTCCATAATTATAGTATTTTAACCTATACATGTTATGGATCTCTTAAGAACTTTTGTTCAACTTTACCTTACACATTATGGGAACTAAGCACTATACACCTTGGGATGAAAAATATAAATTAGTGCTTGCAATCATCCAAGTGGTAGAATGATCAATACCCAAGACTTGCAGGTCGACCACAAGCGTTAAGGTGAGCTCCCACAGTTAGATATTTAGTTGAAACCCATTCCTTTTAAGGTTTTTATTACCAAGTGTTTTTAAGACCTTTAGTAAGCGAATTCGTTGAATTTTCACTAGACCTCACATAACTTATAGTGACTATACCATCATTAATTCTTTATCTTACAATGCTATGTTGAAGTCCAATATATCGACTCTTTCCATTGTATGCTTGATTACATGCCTTTGATACAATTGCTTCATTGTTATAATGTATCAAGATTGGTGCCATTGGTTTAGGCCACAATGAAATTTCATAGAGTAAATCTCTCAACCATTCCACTTCTTGGGTGGCAGATGCTAAAGCTATAAATTCAGTTGCCATAATGGAGTCTGTTTGATAAGATTGTTTCTTAGAACCCCAAGAAATAGTACCCTTATAATTATAAAAATCTAACCAATAGTAGAAGTATGATCTGTTCTATTTGAGTTCTAACTAGCATCTGTATACTTTTCTAAAACTGAAGGAAAACTTGACTAACAAATACCATAATTCTTTGTACTCTTTAAGTCTCTTAGAACTCTATGAACAACATACCAATGTTCTTTACTTGAATTATTTGTAAACTGACTTAGCATGCCAACAGCAAAAGCAATATCTGACCTTGTACAAACCAAGGCATACATTAGGCATCCAATTATTTTCATATTCATTTTGTGCTATTGGCTTGTCTTTGTTAGATATTTGCTTTAAATTAGAATCATAAGGCGCAATCATTGGCATACAATCTAACTTACCATACTTCATTACAATCTTTTCAATGTAATGATATTAAGACAATGTTAGGCTATTATTGTCTCTCATTATTCTTATACTAAGAATAACATCCGCTATACCTATATCTTTCATGTCAAAATTCTTTGACAAGAACCTTTTCGTATCTTTCACTTGTTCTAAATCAGTACCAAATATTAACATATCATCTACATATAAACAAATAATGGCACTTGGAACTTATAATAGACATATTTATCAGATTGATTGATCTTGTAGCCATTAGCTAGGACAATCTTATCAAACTTTACTGCCATTGTTTAAGCATTTTTTTTAATCCATACGAGGACTTTGCAAATTTACACACATTCCCTTTTGCTTTAATTAACCTCATTGTACCATTATATACAATCGAAATGTCAAATTAACATATCAAGGTATATGTTCACACAAGCATCATTGTACTTTTGTTGCATAATAGGAATGCCATACCAATGATATTGAATATTTATATTATGCTATTATGCCTTTGATGATAAAACTGAGAATGCACCATATATCAAGATGTTAAATTTATATATTGGTACCATTATACTTTCATGTATAATAAGAATGCCACATGCCCACTTATCACATGGACCTTGATGTTATTTACACATTGGCATCATTATACCTTAATGTATAATATGAATGCCACATGTCCACTTATCACATAGACTTTGATGGTATTTACATATTGGCATCATTATACCTTAATGTATAATAAGAATGCTACATGTGCACTTATCACATTGACCTTGATGATATTTACATATTAGCATCATTATACCTTAATGTATAATAGGAATGCCACATGCCCATGCCTTGTGTCTTCCATCACATGGACCTTCATCAACTCACGATGGTTTACTTTAAGATATTTATCTTTCTCATTTGGTTTATAACTACTTCTTGGTTGCAACTTTCTTCTTTTATTTGAATATGATTATCAAGGTCCTCGAGAGACATATTTTCTTTCTTATACTTTAGAGTTTTCTAAGTGTCTTTCCATAATATGAGAAGTATGTTAATTATAAAAGACACAATAATAACCTTATTCATTTTAAGATCAGATATGAATATAACAAAATCCTTCTTTCTAACCAATATACGTTTTCCATGCATGTCAAATTCAATATCATGCATATTAAGTACGGAAAAAAACTTATCTTGTAATCCTATAAGGAACCATTTTGTCACATTCTTTGTCACCATCAAATCAGTCCAACTTTTGCCAATGAATAAAGTTTCCTCCTTCAAAGCGATCTAGCTTGATGATGTTGGTGCATCACTTTTAAGAAAGCCATTGAATTCCAACACCACAAAAAATAAGTTTTAAAATTATTGGTGCAAATGGGGTTTATATAGAATTTAAGAAACCGGTAAAATTGACTTCAACGTGAACCTTTTAATAGACATTATTTTTAAAACTTATTTCACCTCCACCACTCAGTATGCAAAGGAAAATAATGGTAATAGTCTTAGGGATACAATGAAATCGATGTCTAACTTCGGCTTGCATTTTATGAGTGTAGACCACTAAATACACTTGAGGGTTTGCAAAGTTGTTCAACCTTAAAACCTACTTTCTGCAGCAAGTAAATTATAAAGAATTTGGATGCCTTTGTAGTTGATGGGAACTTAAGTGTTTGTGTTAATAGAACATAACACTTTTCTTGCTCTTGATTTTTTTGCTCTTATTTTATTTTTGATTTGATGTTTCAAAATGGTTGGCAACAAGCCCTTTGTATAGGCTTGCAAGTGTTTCTTTTCCAATGACATAACTCTTTAATTAAGACACCATTTTGTTTAAAAGATATCTTTACATTTTGCAAGACACAACCTTTAGATAAAAGTATTGTTTCAATAATCATCTTATGAAAAGATAACTATTCATTCCATAAAACATAATCTTTGAGTTATAATTTGAAACAATAACTTTTTATATTTAAACTTTTGAGCTATGATGTTTTTTCAATTTGTTTGATAACTTTTAGATATTATTTTATCAAGAGACATAACCATTCATTTGCAAACCTATCTACAATCCAATAGTCACACTATGTCACTTTATGTGACATAACCTTTGAACTAAGATAACTTTTTATTATGTAACATAGTCTTTGATTTTGAAAATACACCAACAACTAGCATATTTCCTACCTACAATTTGGCTACCAGGGTTAGACTGACGGGGATAAGGATGTCATATGATAAGTTTTTGAAGCAAAATTACCTTTTGTTTCTCAAGACACAAAGTTTATTATCATTACAAATGGTTGACAATAAACAATCTGTAAATTACATTGGTTTACTTGGTTAAACTTTTAATATCTTTGTTGGCTTATACTTGGTTTCATTTGATATATGAAAATTGTAAGATCTATTGGATAGGTTTTTATTTCTTACAAAATATATAAGGTTGTGCAATAGGTATTAAAAATCTCAAAATTGAACAAACCAAATTCATGTTACGAAAAAATTGAAACTGAACCGAAGTACCTTTAGTAAATGAAAAACCAAACATCGAACTACCTCGGTTAATTCGATTCGGTCATCAAAAATCGAACTTGAACACTTTAAGGTCATTTTCTCAAAATTTAATGAACACATTTAAATATGAATTTTAACATACTCAAACAAATTTAACAGCATTCCACAACATTTAACAACATTTTATACAACAACCAACAATAATAGTCTTAAAATTTCAACATTTCAAGAAGTTTAAAGTATCTTTTAGTATATAAGTTATATGAGTTTTAGTTAGTTCGATTACTTTGGTTGGAAAAATTTCAAACAGAAAACCAAACTAATAATACCATTTTAACTAACTTAACTAACTGATATAATTGAATATCGATCTAATAGAACCGAAAAAAAATGAACTCACTTTGATTCGATTTGAATTGATTTTACGTAACCCTACAAACAATAATGGCTTAATGTCTTCAAAGGCCAAAACTAAATATTCAAATGAGGCATTTTTTTATTAAAATTAAGAAAATGAGACTTTTTTTGGTTGAAGTTAAGGAAGAAAGAAGTTTTCATTAAATATATATTATTTTTAGTTGATTGAGAATAGGAAAAATAGTTCAGAATTAATAGTATTATGAGAATTGAAAAGTGATAAAAAATTGAGATTTATTAGAAACATAATTATGGGATTGAGAGAATATGCCATTTTATTGATTATTTTAACTTTTAGATATTTTTAATGAAAAATGAGATAAATAGTTGAAAATTACTAGAGATGTGGAAATGAGAGAAAATAGATTCTTATTAAGAATAGATAGATATCTTATCAATTATCTTATTTTTACATATTTGTAATATAATTAATTATATTATTATTATTATAAAATTGTGAGATTTATGAAAATTTGAGTTCTAAAGTCCTTGCTTTAATTGTTTTAAGCTAAAGTGGCGGGTGCCTACAAATATATAATCAAAGATGAGAATAAAAAGAAATATGATAAAAGCTAAAAGTATAGTTATTTGAAACACATCATATACCATTACATCATACTTTGACAAAATTTATGAAACCTTAATTAAGAACTTTGGAGGCAAGCTTCTTTAGACCCAACTCCAAAGCTTATGCTTTGATTAGTTAAACAAATTCTCATTGAGGTTATGCAAGCTTAAAACTCTTTTTCAACCAAATCTAAAGGGTAAGAGGATTTTTTTGCCTATATATTTTTATAACTTTTTTGGCCAGAACACTTGAAAATGAGCTAGGAAGAAGTAGGGATAGTTGTGGGAATTTGAATATCAGCCCCTGCCTTGAAGAATCGAGATTGTTCTTCTCGTCAGCTGAGGGGAGAAGAAACAAAGAGGAGCTAAGCCCATAACGAGTCCATAAAAATGTCAGAGATAAATACACCTCCACTCCACCACCAACATTAACTTTCTCAATCTTCAGTTCCCTCCACTTCCCCATGGACCAACAACCGCCTCTGCCAACCCCTAACGCTCCTCCTTCCGCCACCCCGACCCCGACCCCAACTCCCATTCCCACGAGTTCCGCACCGAGCCACCCCAACAACCTCCCCCGTCACTACCACAACCACCGCGACCGCCTCAAATTCAACCACCAATCCCAACCCCAACCTCCGCAACACCCTCAAAATCCTCCTCCCCAAGCCCAAACCCTAACCCTAACCCAATCCCAAAACCCTTATCTTCCCGTCACCACCACCCCAACAGCCACCGCAACCGAAACCAACTCTCCCCGCTCCTCAGCTCGACCCACCACCGCTACCTCAACCACCATCACCACCACCGCATTCTCGAGGCCCGGCAACAGCACTCTTCCCATTTTACCCATTTCTCTTCCTCTTCTCCCTCCGTCTCGTCGTCCCCTTCGCCAACTCTTTCATCTCAGCCGAGAGGCAGCATGCCATCGGTGTACCCTCGTCGCATTCTAGCCCTTCTCCCCCAACTCCTTTGCCCTCGCAGCCCACTTCCTTTTCGGGTTCCTTTGGCCATTCTTTCGGTGGAGGCTCTAGTTCCAATGTTCCCAGGTAGAGTTTTAAGCCTTTTGGTCCTTTTTATTTACAAGTGTAAGTTTCGATGCTAAAATTCAGTTTTTTTTTTAATCTCTTTTAATAGGCAAGGCAGCCAATGCAAGGAATGGGGATGGTGGGATCATCAATTGGTTCGAGTTCGCAGATGAGGCCAGGTGGAATTTCTGCACACCATCAACAAAGGCCTGTGCAATCATCTCTTAGACCACCTTCTGCACCAAATAGCCAGTCCCCTGCCACCCAAGTTAGTATCGTGTTAAAGGATTAATTTATTTTGTTAAGTGGTTAGCTTTGGAAATTTGTCTACTTTTACATGTGAAATGACATTGATTTATGTGTTCCCTCTATTCGCTGCTATGGTTTTAGTAGATGAGCGGTTCAACATATTGCAATAGAAGTCTCATGTAATACTTTAGAATTTTAAGAAATGATGAAGAAATATTAGCTGAATTTGGAAAATTGTGTCTTTGCTTTCTCTCTTGTTTTCATCATTATTTGAGTATCATATTGGTAGGTTGAAATGAGCTTTTTTCAGGAATTTGTGAAGCTAAGTTGTTACCGTGTACCATATAACTTATTATTGTCATCTTGATAAGATTTACTGGGTAAATTTGGGTTTCATGCCTGTTTTATATGTAGTTTTTGACCTATTTTTTCCTTTTTCTGTTTTGTAGAATTTCCAAGGGCATGGCCTTATGAGAGTGTCAGCGGTTGGTACTTCGGGTTCTTCAACGCCAAGTACACCACAAACTACACAATCCCTTAATCAGCCATGGCTATCCTCTGGGGCACAAGGGAAGCCTCCTCTGCCACCCCCTTCATATAGACCACCGATTAACTCGCCATCCTTGCAGCAAAGGTCACATATTTCCCAACAACATCATTCCTTGCCAACAGTTTCTCAACAACAGCATGTATCATCTCCACAGGTGCCACAACCTCTACCATCACATCAGCAGCAGGAGCATTTCGGACAACAATTTTCGCAATCAAGGGTCCCACAATCTTTACCTCATCAACAGCAAGTTTCAAGGGCCCAGGGATCTGCAAATCAAAAGCCTTCTTCTCTTGCAATGGTACAACCAAGCACAGTCCAGCCACTAAACCAAAATAAAGCAGCTATCACAGAAAGTGATGAGTCTGGTGGTCGTATTCTTAGCAAAAGGAGCATACATGATCTAGTCAGCCAGGTGAATAATACTGGGCCTAGCTTTGCATTTTGGGTCCTTAGGATTATTTTACAGGATCATAAGATCTTACCAACTTATTATATATTAACTAAAGATTAAAAACTCTCTGAGTCTATTCCTTGTATAAAAAGGTATCCAGCATCTTATGTTATATAAGGAAATTATTAAATTTCACTAGACGTTGTATTGTATGTAAAAAGGTTAATGGCATTGAACAATGTTTCTCTTCTTGTCCCCAAATATGTTGTGTTATACCCAATATTCTCTCTAAATGCCCTTCATCTACTTGGTTTATATGCAGAGGATGCTGTGTTGTTCCTTTTCTACATTTATGTTAGTAATTTGTCTCTGTTGATGAGCAATATAAAATTCATGATTACCATCGAGGATTCTAGTGACACTGGATGTTCGGCATTCATGTTTGGTGGATTTTATTTAGGGAATTTCAATTTTCTCTAGGCATTTATTGAGTGATAGTTGGAGGCAAGGTATTTAGCAACAGGAATTTCCTTACAGATTACAATGTATTTGTCTTTTTTGGTGCTTGTAAAATTCTTATGGAGTTTCATACTTCTTTATCTTTGAATATGACTTTTCTTTTTGAACAGATTGATCCATCTGAGAAGTTGGATCCTGAAGTTGAAGATATTCTTGTAGACATTGCTGAAGACTTTGTGGATTCTGTGAGTGTTCTTGAACCTATATTCTGAGAATTTACCATACATACACTTGGGCAGATACCAAAATGCATAAGGACTTTGCAACTATGATTTTCTAATGAATACATTTCTTAAAACTTATTTTACTTGGATTTAGCCTATTTTGCTTTAGGTGAAAACATTTTAAGAATGACTTATGGATTTTACTTTTTTTTTTCTTGAAAAAAAAAAAAGGAAAAAGTGAACTGAACCTAAATATTTCCTTTTTGTCTTTTCTGATATATTGTGCTGAATAGGTTGATCAGCTAACTGAAGTTATACATGGACTTTGATGAATATTGAAAAATGTTTTCAAAATTTTTAATGATAATGAATATCATTCCACATCTTGAATAGTAAAGAAGGACCTTAAATTCCTGGTTTTCTCTGTCTGATATTTGCCTTGTTTAACTAGGATGTTTTGTTTTTTTCTCTGCTGTCGACTTGGTTTCTTCTACTGCATTGTAGGGTTGCACTATGGCATTGAATACAGTTCTTTCTACTTCATTCTCTAAACTGTCAATAGCTAATGTGACCATTGTCCAATCCTTTTTTTTTTTTTTGTTAAATTTTCTCTTCAACAGATCACTACGTTTGGATGCTCACTGGCCAAGCATAGAAAATCGGAGACATTGGAAGCAAAAGACATTCTTCTACATCTTGGTTAGATATTCTGTAAATTTATCTTCTTTGGTCTTTCATTCATCCTTTAATGTCTAATACTTGAACTTTTATTATTTTATGGCTTGATACAGAAAGAAACTGGCATATGACTCTTCCTGGATTTTGTGGTGATGAGATTAAGACTTACAGAAAGCCGGTAAAACATTCTCTTTTATCCATTGTCCGTACAGGGGATGTTGGATGTGCAGTTGTTGCAAAAGGAATCTAATCGTAGTCGATTTAGATTTACAACTTTTCTTGATTGTGGTTTTGTTGGTTTTGCAGCTTACAAATGAGATTCACAAAGAGCGGCTTGCAGCTGTAAGTTTTGGCTTCAGTATTCTTCCCATTTCATAGTGTATGCATAAAGATGTATTTATGTTTCGTATTTTTATGTGTATGACTGTGTGAGCAGACAGATGGCATGCCCTTGACATTGTCTAAGCTATATATGGGCTTGTTATTTGAGCCAATAGGAAATAGTTGCTTTCCGGTGAACTTTCTTTTTGTTGTTAATTTACATATCTGGTGTCTGTTCTCTTTGGCAGATAAAGAAATCAATCTTAGTGACCGAGGCAACCAATACTAAGCACTTCAGTGGACAAGCTGCTGTAAATGCAAAGGGTAACCTTGGAAAAGCAGCTGCTAATATCTTGGGCTCCCCAAATGTTAAAATACGAGAAGTAACATGAGGCTCCTTTTTTGACAATATTGAATGTTGGAAACTATTTGCATTGAAGGTATGCCAATTATCATGTAAGTCTATGTAATATGCAAATACTCAGCAATTAATTGAACATAGGAGTGGTGCTTGACTTAGACCTCTAATTATTCTTAGCTATGGTAAAACCATGGATGACAAACTGTTAAAATATTGAGAACTGTTGCAGCGATTCAAAAAGAAAAAAGGTCTTTTGTGTGTTCCTGTTTATTAGATAGCTTGTAGTTTGTTGTATTATATGTAGTTTTAGCCATCACATATGTTTTGTAACAGGAGGTGCTCCTGCACATCCTGCAATTTCCTGTGTGAGTAATGTAATGAGCCTGTCTAATCTTGCTCATGAAGAAAGGCTGGATTTCAAATCAGTCATGTTTTGGGAATATATTCAAAGAGAGATGAACCTGGCATGCAGTGTCATGAGCATGGATGGAGTGCTTGCCGTGGTGTGCATTTTTCACAACATTTTGTAAAGGTTTTCCTTTGATCTTGATGTCCATGTTCTCTCATTCTTTGTTTGCAGGATCAATTTGCTGAGAAGAATTATCAGTGATTGGACGGGCAGACCAAACTTTTATAGTCTACCTAGGATACGATGTGCATAAAATTCATTTGAAGGTTCTATTTGCACATCTCTAATGCCACCTTGGAGCAAGGTTGAGAATTTTGCAAGTTGGTGCCCTTTCTTTTTATTGGTCACCAGCTTCCATCGACGCAGCTCGGTGTCAAGTCTAATTGCACAGGAAAAATTCCTTCTCCTTTTCGAATTGTCATATATGTACTTATTATCCAGGGGCATAAGCTTGCCAGCAAACTAAATACGTGATATTTGTGTCTCCACTGTTTTGCAAATGAAAGAATCATTTTAAAAGCAAGATTCTTTAAAATAGCCGGAAAATTAAAATCAAGGGTTAAGATAAGATGAATTCCAATCTTCTGCACCAATTCTCCCACCCAAATCCAAAGCCAGATTCCATTAAAAACCATAACAAATAGAGTACAAAACGTTTTCTGCTCATTGTGACTGTATTGTGGTTTCTGCTCATTGTGAAAGGTGGCTTGTATAATGCAAAAGTTATTGTGGTTTTCCAACTGAGTTTTAATATTTTTATTGTACTTAATTGAGCTTTCTGTTTTTCATTGGAGTTTTCAACTATTTTTATTTTATTTTACTCAATTGAGGGTTAAATCTCCTAACAAAATTATAGGGAATGTTTCTGGGACTGTTTTCGTTTGATGCATGTGTACGTAGGAAAGTAATTAATGAGGTGGCCGGCTTTTGATGAGGCCTAGCATTAGGCTGATGTGGGCTTTTTTAGTTTCTTGTGATGTTTTTTCCCTCTTTGAGTTTGGAAGTAGACCTAAAATTGGTGAAATCGAACAACTTTAAATCCAGAAAACCCGAAGCATATCTTCGATTATAAATCTGAAAATTGGATTTTGAAAAGAGAAGTAGAAATCAATTTTGAAAAGATGAATGCTGATGAACGCGAGGTGATATATTCAATAAGAATTTTTTATGGTGAGCAATTTGTATATTCTCTGGTAACAGAATACTTATATGAGATGCCAAATAGTTTTCAAGTTGATCAAAATATCTAATCTTTTTTTCGATATAAAAAAGTTGGTCAGAGACCTACAGTATATGAATGTGCTATCTATTTACCTTTAGATCTTTCAGATGGAGGTTTTTTTTATAAGTTTAATGTTGGTACACGAGGACAAGGGTGGTCGAGATTTAATTAACATATTGACAAAAGTGGGGTTCTGTAAATTTATATTGTGACCATGCAATTAGTATGCATAATCTGGTAGATGAAACTCGTTTACTCCTTGAATATGGAACTGTAAAGTGTGGGAAGTTTGTGGTAGGTGAGGACAATATTGACCAAGGTGTCCACAATAAGGACAACAAGAAAGATATGGAAGGTGAGGACAATGATGAGATAGTGAGCAATCTTTATGATGGCATTGGTGAGACAGTGACTAATCTCGATTATGACACGATAATTGGGTGATGGCAAATGACTTGAATCAATAGATGCTTTATTAGTTGAAGCTGAATATTTGAGTGAAAATGAGGATAAGGAAATCTAGGAAATTAGACAAAAGTTAAAAGAGTTCAAACAAAAAAAAAAGTAAACAAAATGATGACTAAGAAGACATAGTTATTCTAATTCATGAAGTTATGGGAGGATGAATGAAAGTGAATATGGATACTCAAAGATGATGATTGTGATGAGGTGAGCATTCAAGGATACAGCAAGCTAAATGAGAGTAATATCATGGACTTTGATGATCCTGGATATTATTCCAGTGATGTCCAATTTGATGATGACCTTCTTGCAAGGATGAAATGTATGGGATATAAGTATGATCCTAATTTTGTCATTCTAATATGCAATTTAGGTATGAGATTTGAGAACAATAAGCAATTTAGAAAAGAAGTTAAGGATTATGTTTCTACAAAGGATGTGCAACTAAGGTTCATGAAAAATGAGCCACAAGTTGTAAGGAGAGTTTTTTGTGGAGGTTGTTTGCAAACTATGACTCTAGATACCATTACTTTTGTATTAAGACATATCACCATGAGCACAAGTGTGCAAGAAGCGACAAGAATAAGTTATCTGCAGAATTCATCTCTAAACATTTTAAGGCTAGAATATTATCTCATCCAAGTTTGAATATTAGAGATTGAAAAGGTTATGAGAAAAAGGGTTCAGAATATATGCCACAATGAGCATGTGTTAAAGGGTTAGAAGGATTGTCACGCATAAAATGGGGGGGTCACATAAATTAGTATGCTGAGTTATGGGGTTGTGATATAAAGTTGGTGCATACTAATCCAAGGACCATAATACAATTTTAAGTGGACAAAGAGAATGTAGAAAGGAAGACAGTTCTCGTGAGATTTCATTTATGTTTTAAAGCTTGTGAGGAATGGTGGATTCAAGGGTGCAGGTTTATTATAGGAGTGGATGGTTGCTCTCTTAAAGGTGTTTGCAAAAGAGAGTTGTTGGTGGCTGTAGGGAGGGGTGAAAATTAAGATGGAGTTAACCGACTTTTGTTGGGTGGGTCAAAGACGAAGAGGAATAAAAGTTAAAATTTTTTGAAACTAATAAGTTGAATTGAACTAATAATCAAAAGATTCATAATAGATAAAATTTTATATAAAATGTAAATCAAAAGGAATAAGAAATAAAAACTTAAAATAGTCTTTTAGAAAAGTTATGCTCGATGATGTTTATTGGATTCAAATTCATCAATTATTGACTTTGTATTGAAAAAGCTAACAAAGTTTTTCTTAATATATACAATTAAATTATATGTAAGAAACTCATTATTTACTTTGTTCCGGAGTTTTGTTTTCACAATTTTTATGGCTGAAAGGGCTCTTTTTATAGTTATTGTAGAAACAAGAAGAGTCAAAACAAAACAAATTAATCTATCAATCAAGTAGTAATTTCTTGACTTTCATGCTTTTGCAAATTTTTGATACAATTTAGAAATTGTCTTAAAATCTTGAAAACCTTGATGATGAGGTATATCAAGCTCGTAATACCTCAATCGTAACCTCAAAAGAAGTTTTTTTAGCACCATGAAATCCTGAGAATAAAAACTCTCTGCTGACTTGCAGATATCATCAATGTTGAATGATTTGTAATTGTTATTAACATTTAAAACAATGCTTAAAGTTAAAAGTTTCACAGTTTGCTCATTGAGTCTCAAATTTAATTCTTGTATCTCGGAATCTATTGCCACTAAGAATACATCAATTAGATAATGATGCACCACAGTTACATCTGGTTGACGAGATTGACCTTTGCTCAAGATATATCGTGGAAACTTAAGAATTAAGATAAAGTTGAGTAAAGTTTGTAGTCATTTTATTATTTTTTATTAGTATTAATTATTAAATAAAAAATTATTTTGAGTGGGCTATTAAAAATATATATAATATATAAAAAATTTCATAAATTTTGGACTAGCCATAGTCCCCATAATGTACTACTCTCGGGGCCATTAAAAAAGCATATATAATAAATAAATAAGTGTTAAAATTTTTGAGGAGCCATACCTTCCGCCCTTAGTGAAAACAAACGAATGTTTTTACTTGCATGGGCAATAGTGGAGGTGGAATGCAAGACCACATGGAAGTGGTTCTTGGAGAATTTGATGGAAGATGTTGGGTTTACATACGGAGAGCATTAATTGTGGTCTTAGACATGCAAATGTATGTAAGTTTACCATATGTTTAGAGTTTTATTTATTATATCTATACTTTTTTTTTTCTAAATATAAGGTCTAAATTATAAATCCGATATAGTTAAGGGGTTTCTATTATTATGATAAAAATATAAGAACTCAATTATAAAAATTGATATAGTTTAGAGATTTTTTGGGTAAGATAATATATATATAAGGGCTCAATTTAAAAAATAAAATATATAGGGGTTTAATTTACCTTCAATCCAACCCTAATATATGTTATGACATGTTTGTTTATTGTATGCATACTTCACCTTAAATTTAATATTTTTAATTTGATTGAATTTATTGGTGTTGGATGTTTGACAAGGTTTACTACCAATTATCAAGCAAATTATGCCACTGTGAAGTATAGGATGTGTGCCAAGCAAATTTATGCCAAATGGTAGAAAAATAAAAGGGAGATGAATTGAATTATCAGCTTTGGAATTGTGTGAGAGTAACATGTCTTGAAGAATTTAATGATCAACTATATAAATTGAAAGTTATGACACCTAGATCAAAGAATGGTACTTTAGAGATACCACCATAATGTTGGTGCAAGGCTTACATGGATCCAGGATTAATGTGTGATATGGAGGACAACAATTCTTAGATCCTAAAGCCTAAAATTAAATCAATCATTAGTATGTCTAATGGAATAAGGGTGAAGGTGATGATGAAGATGCATGAAAAAAGGGAAGATGTAAAGAAATAAAAAACTGACATAGCACAAAATGCATTGATTAAGCTAGTGAAGCATATGGGAACGTCACTCAGCTGTTGTATGATTCGAAATGGAAATGGTGGCTTTGAGATAGTTCATGGAGATGATCAACACATCATAAGTTTGATAGATATGCAATGCACATGTCGGGCTTGGGAATTAAATGGTATTCCATGACCTCAAGTAATTTATGCACTTTACCATGACGATAAAAGACTTGACAATTATGTGTTTGATTGGAACAAGAAAGACAAAATACATTGAGGCTTACAAGCATTCATTGCAATCAATTCAGTGAAAATTTTTTTGAACAACTTATAATGACCCAATAATGCATTCTACTATTAGGAAGCTACTTGGTAAGCTAGAAGAATGAAGGATAAAAATGAAGCCAAAAAGAAGAAAAGGAATGGAAAATTAAGAAGAAAAAAGAGTGAAAATAGCTTGTAAACTTAGTCATTTATATAGATACAACAAGCAAGGATGTCGACAAAGAACAAAGATAAGCAACCTAAACTTTAAGGTATTAGTGAAATTTTTTATTTTCTTTAACTTTTATATAATACTAACTAATAAAAGAGTAAACTATTGGTTGTTTTGAGATGAATACAATGAATAAGAGAACAAATTCTAGGTTGTGATGTTGGAAGCTTCTACTATCCTAGGACATTGATCTTTTCTACCATTGTTACCACACAAGACAATGGCTAAAATGCACCATAATCAACTAACCAATAGCTGAAGTATATGATTCTTTAAGTATTTCTTTAAATAATTATGCTCATTAATTGTACTAATTTTTAATTTTCTCCATATTTTTGGACACTGAATATTGCAAAAAACAACCAATGTGTTTTCCACAAATGACAGTCAGAAGATTCCAAACGGAAAGGGAAGGAA